TGTGAACAGTGTGATCTGCTAATGTGTATCAGCAGGGCTGACTGTGGTCTCCTTGAAATCTTTCTACCAGGGAACATCTTTCTTCCTGCCAGAAAAGCATAGTTACTTACATCAAACACAATATTAGCTAGAAAGTTGAATGAATGACTCACAGCTTCTGAAAGGCAGTTATCCTGGCAGTGTTTTCCATTGCAGTTCCCTTATGTGGCCTTCCACATCCATTTAGTTAGTTAACTATTTTAAGATGGAGCTTTGAAGGGTACTGTAGAACTATAGAAATCCCCCCACCTGTTCTTTATTCCCCTTCTTTTTCCCCCTTTCTTTTTCTTTGCTTGGGATTGAACTCATGGCCTTGTGCATGCTAACCATGTGCTTTGCCAACTGAGTTAAACCCTTGGACTCAAGATTCCTATTTTGAGTTTTGGATCAGTGATCATTTGAGGAGTAATCTCTGCATGAACTTGTGCATTGCCATCAGATTGTTGAGTGATGTGGATAAATACTGTAGAGACTACCCTAGAAAAGTAGTGTGTTACAATACATAGTTTAAATTTTAATTTGAGGATTTTATTTAATTGTTTTTGGAAAGCGGGCTGCTTGCTGGTGTATAGGTCATGGGACCTTAGGTTCTTATGCATAATTTTAGTACATTATCTCCATGATTTTTTTTTTTTTTGTCTTTTCCTCACATAATTGGTGATATTTCTCAAATGTCAGTTTAATCAAGTTACTTTCAAATGGCTGATTTTCCACATTGCATTGGTTTTGTTAGATGAATTAGGTTTTTCTGCCTCAATTACTTAATTCTACTTAGGTGTTATGTGATTCAAGGTGCTCAAAAGCTCCTTTATAATGAAACTGTTTTTCCCACAGCTACTTATTACTGTGGCATTCAATCAACCTGTTAAGCTTTATTCCATGAAATTTCAAGGACCAGATAATGGTGAGTAAAGTACAGCTCTTATTTAAGCTATGTGCTTTGTTAGACCTGTTAGCGTATATTTAAAACTTTTTATTAAGGTAGATATTACTTGTTTTAGGAAAGACTAAATTTGTTTTTGAAAATATCAATGCATGGGCAAATACCTGAAATTATTAGGGATTGAAAATAAGAAAGAAATGAAACTGCTAATTTGTTTTCTAAACTTTAATTTTAGACTGTTCCCCCTAATCTGCAAGTTGCTGGATCTTTCCTTCCAGTTCTACATTTCTAGCAGCATCCTTTAGAGTCCACAGCAGGAAAGATTCATTTCAAACTCCTCAATGAAGCTCAGGCAAAAGATCTTCCTATTTGTGCTCTATTAATAGTGTTATATGCATGGATATTAACATAGTTTACAACTTGAAGTTATAAACTTGAAGTTTCTGTTTTATAAAGCATATTTTCCTTAACCTTCCTTTTGTGTTCTATCACTGTTGATTTTTTTAAGGGCTAGGGAAGAAGAGAGAAACCTAAGGTTTGTTGTTTTAATTGATTGTGAAGAAGCGACCGAAGCTGTCTTTATGAGATTCCATTTTCTCTTTTGTTATTCTAAATTTTCACATGTTAATAACTTTAACATTTTAAAATTATGCTTTTATTCTGAAAATGGAACATAAGCAAATGCTGTAGGAATGGTTTACTATTCTTTAATCAGCCACAAAATTATACCATGAAATTAAAGAAATGCAGTCTCAGACAAGTAAATTCCTGATCTAAAGGTGAAATCAGAGTTTTTAATGTGTGGCTTTTTTTCCCCCTTCTTTTTGAGACAAGGTCTCACTATGCAGTTCATGCTGGTCTTGAACTCGCAACAGTCCTCCTGCTTCAGTCTCCCGAGTGCTGGGAGTACAGGCGTGCACCACCATGCCTGGTTTGACAGTTTATATGATTAATTCTCTTGGCTTAATTTTGTCACTGATACTATGTACTTCTGACTAATCCAGTTATTGATCTGGCTCAAATGCTAATTCTTTTTTTTTTTAATCTTATTTTAGGGAAGGGTCTACAGGGTGTTTAGGGTCTCACTACTAGATCAGACTTGTGATCTGCCTTTTTACAGCTTCCCAACTGCTGAGATTACAGGCATGCGCCACCATACCCAGTCTCAATCGCCATTTTAGCGCTCCTCGGGGCAGGACCTGGACAGCAGGCCTTGTGATTGAACCCCTGCCCCCTGTGTCTGCTTGCAGGTGCTTTAATCTGCTGAGCTATTTGGCTGGCCCTCAAATGTTAACTCTTTTGTGAAAATTTGTTAACATGTGTACACTGTCAGAATCCAGTGCCACCTTCCTTATTATTTCTTCACTAGTCATATTAAATATAGTTGATGTTAGTGACTCTGTGTATATATATGTATGTGTGTATATATATGGCTTTTTGTTGTTTTTGGCTTTGGTTTTTTGAGACAGTGCAGGCTGGCCATGAACTCAGGCCTCAAACTCATGGCAGTCCTCCTTCCTTTGCCTCCCAAGTCCTGGATTACCTCTCATGCCACTATGCCCAGCTATGCATTTTAATGTCATAGTCCTGGGATTTACTACAGTGCTAGCTAGGACAAGAAGGTATCAGCATATGTGTATTGAGGAAGTGGGGTAGAAGGCTGTCTGAGTGGGAAAAAAAAAAAAAAAAAAAAAAAAAGGAATACTCAGATTCTTATAAACTCTAATGATAGAAATTGTGTGTATGTGTGTGTGTATTTGTGTCTGAAAATGCTAGTATGGTGTAATGATAAAGGGAGAAAGTGTTAGTTTGTAATTTTTAGTATTTTATTGTTCGGTTTTTTTTTTTGTTTTGTTTTGTTTTGTTTTTACCATTTTTTAGGTCAGGGTCCCAAATATGTAAAGATTTTTATCAACCTACCCCGATCTATGGATTTTGAAGAAGCAGAAAGAAGTGAGCCAACTCAAGCTCTAGAGCTGACAGAGGATGATATTAAAGAGGATGGCATTGTTCCACTTCGTTATGTTAAGTTTCAGAATGTGAACAGTGTAACCGTAAGTAGTGTTGTATTGGGATATATTTAACAGGTTTTGGTTACCATTGCTATCTTCAGTATTCTAAGTCAGTGATGGCAAATCTTCTAGAGCTTTCAGTGATACAAACAGCCTGCTGCAGGATTTTTGCCATAGATTAGCCACCACTCTCCTAGGTGATTCTATTTTTTTTTTTTTTTTTTTTTTTAAGTTTGCTTTCGAGACAGTTTTGCTGTGTAGTTCAGACTGCCCTTGAGTTTACTATATAGTCTAGACCAGTCTGGAACTTGCAGTGATCCTGTTGCCTCAGTCTCCTGAGTGCTGGGATTACAGGTGTGAATCACCATGCTCCATTATATGATATTTTGTTTTTTGTTAAGTTTATCGGTACATTTTGAGTATACATAATGATCACATTCATTATAGGAAATTTGTAGCTGTAAATGATATAAGCTTGAGTCTCTCCCCATTCTCCTATGCTTCTTTCACCTCCTCTTTCCCTTTGTTGACAAAAGCTTTGTTTCCATTTTTGTGTTCTTTTTAAATTTACCCTCATCCCCCGTTTCATTCTCATTCCCATTTGAGTATTTTCTTCTATTTTACAATATTTGTTATACATTCTAGTCCTTATTTACTCCTTATTTACTTCGGTTTCTCACACTAGAGAAACAGTGGAATATTTACACAGATACATGTGATTTATTTCAGTTAAGATATAGCTAAAGTAGTGCTTAACAATTTTAAATGAGTAAAAGTGCATAATGGACAAATTATATTTTCTTCTTTGTAATTTAAAGAATTTTTTTTGAGAATCTAACTATTGAAGCACTTCTTTGTGTTTTCAACCTCTCTTCTAAAGAAGGAAGATGGGTTGATCTTTAAATATTTATGAGTTTAACTGGCAAGGATATAGCTCAATGGCACAGCACCTGCCTAGCCATAACAAGGTCATGAGTTCCATTGCCAGTACTAAATAAATAAATATTTAATTTTTTTCAGTTTATTCATGCATACATACATTATTATATACACATATATATGACAAATTCTGGTAAAAATTTATTCTAGAACATTTATACTTAGGTTGGAGCTATTGTATGTATGTAATGGTCACATCAGTAAAAACAATGCTTTAAATAATTTCACATTTTATAAAATGATCCAAAACACCTCTGAATAGTGCCTATGATGATTTTAAGTGGTATATTGTAAATGTTAATGTAAACATGCTACTTATAAAAGCCAGCTACTTTTTAGCAGTTGTTAATTATTTTTGAGAATTTAACTATTGAAGCACTCCACACTTCTTGTACTATCCCCTTTCTTGTTCCTTAGAAAAGAGGGTGACTATATTAGTAACGAATATAGAAGAATACCTGGAAAAGAAAATAGAAACAAGCACAGAGTCAATAAAAGAGAACATGTTACATCAAATCTTTGTTTTAGTGGAATAATTCTGTGTTTTTTTTTTTTTTTTTTTTTTACAGAATCAGGGATTGAACTCAGATCGTTGCGTTTGCCAGTCAAGCGCTTATCCTACCGAGCCATCTCCCCGGCCCCAAAATGGAATGAGGATTTTTTTTTTTTTTTTTGGCTCTGAATGCCTTCAGGGCAGGTTTGGCTGGCTGGAGTGTTGTGGGGATCAAACTCCAGCAACCTGAGGCTGACAG